TAGTTGCCGGCTGTGCCATAAATAGCTGGAGAATAATATGTCCTTAACATTCAATTAATAGCGAATAGCGGCAAGAAAAGACATAGGCATACCTATGTGCAGATTCATCTTACTTATGAAAGTAAATTCTAAGTTGTTTTTTATGCTAGAAGGGGTTACATTGGCGTAACATTGAGACGATATGGCGCGTGAAATGATCACTACACCGTATAAAGTTAAGACATAGAAGATGGAAGAAGCTATAAAGGCAAGAGCAACTATATGCCTACGTGTAGACCTGACCCTTGTAGTCGATTACTGGAATCACTGGAACGTGGCGATCCAGTGATCAAGATTGGTCCTCAAATGAAACTGTTAATGCCACTACAGCACTGGCAAAAGTATAAGCATACCGCAAATAGTGGAATAGTTCATTTTGCATAGCCCACTGACACCAAAAGAAACATATTAACCGAAATAATAAGCAGGAATCACAAGGAAGAAAGATACACGCGAAGGTTTTAGTCAAGTTGATTAGCTATCCTCTTTCGCGACTCTCTTCAGGGGATATGCTTCAAACCAAGAAGAAGCGCTTTCAAGAAGTCTCAAATATTCTTTGTAAGTTAATTACTATTTTTATAACTGCTTGAGGTAACATCTCCAAAAGTGATCGTGACGTTCCAGTTAGTGAGACTTGGAGACTTGGCAGCACCGAATAAGCTAAAGAGACTGGCCGAAACAACACCGTTGCCTTTAGGAATGTCGGAAGGGAAAGCCACGGTTTTGGTTATAACAGTTGACCCTAAGTTGGATTCACCTGCTGCCGGTTAAACATTGTTCACCTCTCCGCAAGAATTATGGGGGACAATAACGTACCAGGCCCGAGATAGAAAGAAGCAAGATTGGTTCCAAGTGCACCAGCATAGCCGTTGCCTGTGGCATATCCAAAGGCGACAGCAATATCATCGACAGTCATCATATTGGTTGCGCTAATCAGTTTGAGGTTGACTGTATCTCCAGGCTTGATAGTCTTGGGCACAGAGATAGCTTGGATATATGCCTGAGACGTGGCAATCAAAGCTGCAAGAATAGAAGTTGTGGCGAAGCGCATCTTGGCTGATTTCTGGAAGAAGAATGAATTCCTGAAATTTTCGTTGCAGACATCAATCTCAGTCAGAATACTGTCCATTTTATAATAGAAACAGTGTGTGTGTTACGGATCGTGCGAGCGGTAGGACTCGTCATATTCATGGTTTGGACTTCGACACCTCGTATTCAAAAGAGGCTTGCATTCTTAATACATTAGCGCCTGTAGATCCTTCAGCCCCAAATGCAAGCATGACGGTTCGGATAACCGGCTAGGGAATTTCTTCCATTTTGCTTTGGCCATTCGACGAATCTTATGCCTTCGTTCGCGTAATAGCTTGGCAGAGCTGCAGTTTGGGCTGACCGCACTCCAATGAATCGCGGTTAACTGGATCACACAGACGCAGTCGGATAAACGGCACTGCTATTATTTTATTTAGGACCCAAGCGGACTCTTGACGAGATACGAATCACTTTTTTCAAGTAAATAACCATGCAAATTACATAGCTCCCGTATGCCTAGAGTTACAAGGCAGACTGCCGGAATGTCGGCATGGACGGATCGCGTCAATGAATGAAAGACTATGGACCTTTTACAGCAAGGGAAAAGCCGGCATGTCTTGAAGAGAGCTAGAGAATGGGAAACTCTGAAACCCTGACCTCCGTGAAGCTCTTCCAAGGCAGACTCGGAATTTCGTCCGCTTCCGAGAGCAGAGGAGAGACCGTTTTAGAATTACTTGCCTAGCTACACGAATGAATATGAGCGTTTATGCTTTCCCTGTGGACTACGTCTTTGAAATGCCCCTCTTATTGTAGAGAAAATCCAACTAAGAGCAACTTGGGGAAGCCAGGGAATAGGCTCGGCAGCAGTGATTGGTAGGGATCCCCCCCAAAAAAACTGACCACCCGTTTGCTGGGAATAAGTAGGTTTATGAAAAGACTTTCTAGAAACGAAGAGCGCAATCTATTAAGAATCACCGCATTCTGCTCTAACCTATCAGTACTATCGGAGGTATAGAAAACTTCAGGAGTTGTCTACAAAGTCAGAGAGTGAATGATTTCTTCAGTGATTATTCACTCCTCCGAAAGGCCCAAATTCTTGTGGTCAAGCTGGATCTGACAAATGTTGAGGGTACTTGCGTTGCTGCGGCGGTGATTTCTGCTGGGGTCCTTATTCCAGGTATCGGCAACCTGGTTTACCTCTTACGTCGCTGTTACGTCGTGTATTGCCGTTACAGGCACTGCCATTGCATTCGTAGAGGATGTAAATTATAAAGAAGTCAAGTCGAGAAAAAAACACACCAAGAAATCAAAGAAATCAGAGTGTACGTATAGATGCTTCGCCATAGCCTAAGACCGGATACGCGCCAATCGATCCGTAGTAATTACCAGACAAGAAGCATCCAAGGGCGCAATGGATGAACTTTTTGTTCGATTGCTTCCTTCTTTTTTCAGGCAACATGGTGTTGATTTGACGGAGTCCTGGATCGACTCAGCATGTCATTCTAGAGGAATGGTACGAGCCGTGAGAGGCAGGGCGCTTAAAAATAGCATTCGAGATTGCCAGCTAGACGATAGACCAATACATGACTGCTTCTCACAACCTGTTTAAAGATTGATCAATGTGGGATGGGTATAGTTCACAACCTGGGAAGAAAGAGAAAAAAAAAGCGTGGCCTCACTGCTACCGTTGATTATTTCTCAAGTTTAAATGAACTGATTCATACATAAATTACGGCTGGTTAATACATTATTCGGCTCCATAGCTCATTAACATAAAGTTTTCCACCAGACCCCGTACCCATTCGGCTTCGCCATCGCAGCTACTACAAAGGAGCCAAGGGCTTGATGCGCTGCATAATGCCCTGAGTGCTTCTAGTGCTTGGAGCTGTATAGTCGACGATGTAGATGGAAATGGAAACAGCACCATTCTCTACGACGTACGTCTCTCCCTCGAGAGAGCAGTCGCCATTCACACAGGTGTTGACACCCGCGGCGTACGGCTTGATGTTGGCCCAATCAAAGGTTCCCTTCTCGGCGTCCAGCACAGCTTCGTTGACGTGAGCGTTGCCCGTCATGCGTGTCTGGACGTACTTGAGATCGGAGTGGTTGCCCTTCAGCTCGGGGATGTTGACATTGAGGCCGTATCCGAGCGGCAAAAGAGGCCCGCCCTTGGGTGCGCTGCTGATGACGGTGTTGACGACCTTGACGCCCACCTCGGCGGCCCAGGTGGCGGGGTTGGTCTCGTTGTGAATGTCAAAGTACGGGGTTGCCTTGTTGCTCGCTGAGAGGGCAATGGCAGGGATGCTGCGGTGGGTCGCGGCATATCTGTCTCTCTGGTTAAATTACAGAGCAGCATGGGGAGAGGGGCGAATATGCACTCACGCAGCGCCGGCTGTTCCAGAAAGAGTCCAGACAAAAGGACCGAGGTTGGTTCCGTAGTTGGGGCCGGTAACCACAAGGTCAGGCACCTTGAAGTCGGCGAAGCGTGGGAGAACGTAGTCTAGGGCAACAAAGGTGCAAGCAGCTGGTGTTCCGTTGTAGTACCAGATATGGCTGTCAATTGGATCCGGGCCAACCTTGAATGAAGTTTAGTAAGACTCTTCGGCTTGAATGATGCTTGGCTGCCAGATTCACCTACCGATGGTTCGCCCGCGGGAATGATATTGTACTGCGATGGGCCTGTGAGGTTGGCATACTGGGTAAACTCTGACCGGCCTCCCTGGCCACTCTGGGGCAGAGCTGGGGCGACAATCCACACTGACAAAGGACGCAGTTAGCAATGGGAGCAAGCAAGCATGGCAAACTCAACCAATGAATTGGCCTCCTTACCATCGTGGCCATCCTTCTTCAATAGTCGATAGACCTCGCGCAAATTTGCCGAGCCAAAGCCATCGTCGTTGTTTAACAGGATGTTTAGAGCCTGCGAGGATGTGGCAAAGGCGAGAGTGACACCGGCGAGAAGGCTGCTCAGACGCATGATGGGCGGATTGGAACTTGGGGTAGTTGAGAGAGCACAGGTGAACAACTAACATGACACGACCGGCGAGCCACCAGGAATTTAAGCATCTTTACAAGGCTACGAGCCAAGAAAAATCGTTCCGTGCGATCCAAACCTCTTTCCTGGTTTGGTTGGGCTGTTTACTTGGTTATCGCTGATCCACAAGATCCTTTGCAAGCGCAGCCGAATGTGGCAAGTGGTCGCGTGCGGACTGCGCCGATGCTGACGACAATCGATGATAAGAGATAGCAAGAGGCCGGGGAGCAGAAATGAAATAATAAATGCTCTCAATTGATCCCTCGGCCGACGAGCAGAGTAGAGCGGCACCGGAGGACAGGGGCAGGGATGCCACTGTCTTCGTTCTGTTCCCTTGCTGGCCACGTTTTCTTGGCATCTTTATTGTCTACACCATACCACCTCACGTCGTAATGATCGATCTCTTATGTGAAGTTAACTAATTGAAAGTAGCATCGAGCGTTTGTAGAAGGAAAAATGATTCATGAGTTGTCAATAACTGGAGTAGACTTGAATATTTAGACATTCTACCTGTACAAAATAAGCTCCTTTGATAGGTCTAGCCCACGACAACACCTCAATGGGTGCTGGCATGGAGTCTGTAAATTTGTGCAGTTGCTGAGAACGTATGTTATGAGTTTGCCAACTCATACGTGTTTGGATGCGCTTGTGAAGACGCGTTTGATTGCGCCCGACGCGACTCTTCACTTTTCACTCTTTGAGGTCGTACACGTGAAAACTGCCAGAAAATGAAAGCAAAGTCAGGGAAGGTTTTTCTCCTTTCTCCATCAACACGTTTCCCTTCACACCATCACATCAACTTCCTCTGCCATGGGCAGTTGCTCCAAATACCTCAGCTCTTTCGGCCAAGGACTTCATCAACCTTCCCCCACACTATCCTGACTGAGAATCTGCGAGCATGTCCGAGCCAGACAAGAAATCCCGTGACTGCTCACCTGAGCCAAATGAGGCTTCGAGTAAGATCTCTGAACTAACTCGTCTGTCTTTGAACGTATTCGACAACAATTCAGAGTACATCGCTGACGGTGTTTCAAACACAGGTCTCGAGAAAGACGCCGTGGCCATCCGCGAGATGTTCAGCCTGGACTGCCAGTCTGACAACAAATCCAACGACGGATCTATGGATGATTCCGAAGAGTCAAGCGAAGAAGAAGAATCAAGCGGCGAAGAAGAGTCACACGACGAAGAAGGGTCAAGCGAGGAAGAAGAGTCAAGCGAGGAAGAAGAGTCTTATCCGGACAGCTTGTCTGACCCCGACGCATCTCGACCCAAAGTTTTGGGATCACCCGAGGGTCAATGTGAGCGTTGCAAGAAGCGAGAAGCGTCAATGCTATGCTACTTTTGCGGCACCGGCGGATTCTGCTCATCTTGGTGCTGCGAGATGAGCATGGAAAAGGGCAAGCATAAGTGCGTGCCAACCGAGGACACGACAGCCAAAAATATCATCAAGGCCGTTGCCAGGGATATGTTCCCCGAGGACCGCCAGACCATGGAAGACTACTACTTCACGCCTACTGCCTCTTCCAGGCTTGGAGATCCCCATATACTCCTTGGCATCTACGGCAACCTCGTCGTGGCGTTCTCCATCTCCAGCCCCCAGCTCCACCAGTGGAAGGAGGCGAAGCAGATCTTCAACAACATCGTCCGGCTGTACAACCGATACCCCGCGCGGGTACCTGTGCGGTACTTCTACTGGCTCTCACGCCATCGCCACGTCTTCCTCGAGGAGGACAAGTCGGAAGTTCTCGACTTTGATGCCTACCTCCGGGCGAATGACTTGACCCCTGGTCAGTTCGGTGCAACTCTCATGTGCAGTATGTAAAAGGCCAAAATCCTTACACACCAGATTTGATGGAGGGTAGCTGCAATGCACTGTGGTGTATTCCAACTCTGTTTCTCTTGATGTGGAGAATACTGCCAATGGGGATTGGATTAACGGACGGATGAGTTTGGCTTTGATTTCACTATTCGCAAGTGCCAGCCTGAAACCGTAGGTGGAAATAATGAGAGTCGCATGCGCAACCTCGCCATGAGAAACCGAACGGGCACAAGTTACACGAGAACGAGAAGAGGATGGATGCGCACGTGGCTCTGTATTTGGCATTGAACACCGAGGCCCATCTACGGCCTTCGTTTTACTGAGTAGAGTTGCTTAGCTAGTCAAAGATGCCACATGTTTCTCACTCGCCATCCCATGAAATCCCCACGAGGGATACACGTCTAACTGTGTTGAGATCGAGACTTGGAGTGACATGTAATGCTACGGAATGCTACACGTGTTGGTCTGGAGGTATGATGAACTGGCGGCCTGACCAGCACGTCCTCAGAGCAAGTCCGTAGCCACCTGGGGATTGATATCTGATGTGATCCCATCAAGGAGTTCCTTGGTGTGCCCAGTCCTCGTAATGGGGTTGTTCCCTGTTGTCCGTGAATTCACGGTGTGATCTCAACACCTCGTGTCCCCTACTGTATGCTCCGGCAAAATGAACCCGGGATTCGACTAGATTGCCAAGGCACTGACTACATGTGGAAGAAATCTCACAGCCCCCGTGGCGCCGTTCGGTTCCTGAGAAGCGGCTAACAGGCATTGGGGACTTGTGTCTAGTCTCCCCTCGCCGACCACGAATTATATTGTCCATAAGTTCGGGCCAGTTCTATTCTGTCATCAAGAAAGAACCCAGGAGGACTCCTTCGAGCAAAGGCTAGCTTTAGCTTCCGTGCGCTTTTAGTCTCTTCCCACGCTCACCCTTTTGCAGGGAAGCAGGAGAAACTGCCACGACTCTGGTGGTGGTTTTGGTATCATAACGTTAGAGAGGTATTTCAATCTGCGTCTGTCTTTCGTCCAAAGGGATTGGGTAAATTGAACGACACCCGTGCAAGGAGTTGATGGATACTAGCGAAGGGCCACCGCGACACCTCACCACTTGGGGCTTCCGCAGGGGTGCCCCATTCATGGACCCTTCTTCCACCCGGCCCCAGATGATGCGCATCCGATTCTCTGGTGGTATAGTCGTTCAGTGGCAAGACAAGAAGCACGTTCTCGGTAGACCCCGCTGGGCCATCGCTGACTGATTGACCAGGCGAGGAGCGGCTACTTGCGGAGGACCTAGACGACCCAGACGATCTGGATGTGCCATGATAGTGGAACGCTTCCGACGTCTTCTGGTCTCGTTGGCTCCAGCCCGACGGGAGGCTTTTCTCTATCGGAGACACTACGATCGAGGCTGCACCGCTCTTATGCGTTGGTGTGACGCAAGGAGATATCACTGGTGTGGGTGAGCCACCACGTGAAGAGACTGAGCGCGGTGGACGAAAGTAGAATCTTGAAGGAATGGGACTGTCGCTTTGAGGAGACTGAGCTTCGGGCCCCCACTCCTCTCCTTCACGGCTGGGCACGTCCAACAATACGCCTTGAGACGTTGGAGAGAGGTTCGTTCTTGCTGTTTGCCGTCTTCGAAGCTGCCGGAGGCCGTAAACGTCAGCCTTGGGGCCGTTCCACCTGCTGGCAAGTAGCCTGACAAGTCTTATCGCGGACGGGATGAGAAAGCCTCCAAGCAGCATCCCGGCGTGCAACACCAGGATTGCGCGCCCAATATTGGTTTTCGTAGCCATGTTTGAAGCACTAGGCAGAAAGGCGACCATGAGCCCCGTGGCAATGAGCCTAACAACAGCCCCGATGGTGACCACAGATCCAAGCGGGTGTGACTTGAGCAGGTAGATGCAACCCAGTAAAACCACTTCGCAAGTGCAGAGAACCACCAATTGTGCAGCGCCCCATTTCTGAAGGCCGCCAATGACCATTCCCCTGACGAACAGCAATGTGAAAAGCACCAGAACGAAGACGTCATCATATGCATTTGGCGCCGGGGCATCGCCTGGCAGTAGGCTCTGGTAATGAGTAGATTTATTTAAGAGGAGACGCCCAAGATTTCGAGGCGGGACCTGGTACAGGAGCCAGGAGAAGAGCGCAGTCATGTAGAGGATCAGGAAGACGGCGTAGACGGTGTGAGTCCGAGGGACCCACGCGGCGTTGGCAAGTTGGTAGAACGACATGGCTATGAGCGGCATGGTGAAGTACGAGAAAACCACGCGAAGCAAACAGGCGAATCGGTGGCGGAAGCTGCTGCGAACATCAGGTGTCGCCTGATCCAGCGAAGTGCGCCGCGGTTTGCGAAAAAGGCGAAGACATTCCAGGATGACGCCGGCGCATATGGTGATGATGAGGATAGTGACCAGCATATTGAACCAAGTATCAATCGTTCCGGGCGTGGCAGCGATTTGATGCATTATCTCAAGCCCATAGGTTCCGCCATACGTGCCGTTGACCTCGTAGATGCCATCGCTAACACCGTTATAGGCGAGTCTGCGTGTGATCGGTCCGCTATGGAACAAAGAGAACCAACTCAGCTTGCTAACAGCAGGGCGATAGAAGCCGGGGTAGGAGATGCTGAGGCCTCCCGAGAGGAAGACGAACTGCAGATAGTGCAGACAGTCGCCAAACAGGGGAAGTATTGGCCGAGTCTCTGTCCGCAGCACTCTTACGCCATCTATGATGTGTTCTTTCGGTCCGTCATCGTACAAGGAGTCAATCGCGCCGTACACGAAGACAAATATCAGGATCGCGCAGGGCAACCATCGTAGGACGCGAGATGTGACGACGTCGATCTCCGGCGCGATTTCGACGTGCGCACAGGCAAACGGGTTCGCGGCTGTGCTGTTGGCTATTTCGATACGCGTATGGAAGGTCGAGAGGGGGATTCGTTGGATGTTTTGGGAAACGTTGGTTCGGAGCAGACGCATGCCGCCTCTTGCCCAGGGCATAGGTTCGCAAGTCGTATTTGCTGTCAATTGATCCGAGACTCTCCATCCAAGACCCTCGGTGGTCAGATTCACCGTGACAGTTGCCAGTCCATCGCATTCCGTCACCTGGACCAAGCTTGCGCCTTCGATGCTGAGTGCCTGCCCGTGTATCTGGGGTTTCAGTGCCGCGGTGACGCTGGTCGATTTGAGGCTTGCCTTGCTGCGTATAACGGCGCATGGTCGGGATTCAACGTAGGCGCCCAGGCTGTTGGAAACGGCTATCGCGTGGAAGAGCAGCCATAGTAGCTGGCCATGGCGCATAGTGAATGATACGGAACGACCACGAGAAGTAGGGCAATCGCTGCTGCCAGATGGGATGGTGCAAGGAAGGAGGGTTTCCGACCGAGCTCACATTTTCAAGGCGGCAGACGATCATTGCGCAAGTCGGTAGAATGGGCAGATCTGAACTGGGCTCAGCCTCTTCAAGCGCACTTAACCCCTGCCCCATTATAGTGCTTTCTCCGGTGCCCCATTATAATCAGGGGTTTCCTTGGCTTGCTTGGCACGGCCCCGTCAAACGGGTGACAGACTACAGTGTTGAGGCGATTCATGGTTTTGAGAGCCAATGGTACATATTTAGGGATTTTATACAGACAGTTGTCAATTTGTATCATTTAATAAACACTTCTCAGTGTTGTTTTTGTGTTCACGACCGCTCTTCATCTTGAGCATTCATTTGTTCTCTCAATGTTGTGTTACTCTGACTCGCCATCCAGAAAATTTCGAGGCACACCTGTCTCTCTAGGGCGAAACACTAGGCATCCCGATTATGGGGCATGACGCAGCTTCCGAATTCTGACCCTCAATCAGCCGGACGGTGCGCAAAATCTTTGCGCTTCGGAATTACTCTGGAGTAATAAGACTACATGACTGCGTACGTAGAGAACTAAGAAGGGAAAAAAAGGCTCTCATGGACCTTTTACTCTATAACGAGATCACTATGTTGCAACCTGGTAGCTGTTCCGGTCTCAGCCCAAAGGGCTTAAAATGCCAGCTGAACACATCGCAACTCTAGTAGTATTATGACCATACCAGTGCTAGGGACTAGATATCTCTCAGGGCCGTTACATCGCATTGAGGCTTAAATCAAAACCTATAGATTATGATTCATAAGCCGTAGAGAACAGAAGTTTAGATTCATGAATTTTAGAAAATGAGGCAATTTGGTGCTTCCTCCATGTTAACATAAACACGACTAATCCGTTTGCTGAAGTTGTCGCATATTCTTTCAGCTGTTTCCCCACATACAGAATCTTTCATATCCTGATAAATTTTTGGGTTTCTTGTGTCGCTGAGATCGACCTGGCTTATCCGTGCGGGTGCTTAGAGGGATAATCGTCATGACTGAAAGTAGAGGATTTCCTGATGTAAATGCTGATTTATCTGGATCGGAACCCAGTTTAAGAGGTTATCTTCAAGGATTTATATCCCACCCGAAGCGACAAGTTACGGAGTTGTATGCAGCTTTCGGCGTGAAGCGATGAACATATATAATCCTCAATGAACGGCATACCGGCTTGAACATAGAATATTATTGCATACGTTAAGTTGGTGGTCGCTCTACAATCAGCAACTGCCTTGTGTTGGCGGTACGCTGGTATCAAAGAGGGGGTTCTCCCGTCTCCCGTTGCTCTTTTTTCCAAAAGCTCTGTGGCATCGAAAGTAGTCTCAAGCTCAGGAAGCCTTCCTTTTGTTGGTGGACACCTCGGCTTCCGACAAACTCTTCGCACCCTGGATAGCTCCAGGATTAACGATACTGCACGTTGGTGGGCGATAGCGAACCACGCTCTGCAGCATGGCCCCGGCAGTGGAGAGCTCAGACACGTTAAAAATAATGCTATTATATCTAGCGATGCTGACGTGGCAAGAATTGAGTTGGGCTTCACCACCAACCAATTCGTCCGGCCCTCCCTCGTTTGTTTACATTTATTCCCCTCATATAGTTTCCACTCATGCTTGTTCGTTTAGACACAATGGAAGATTGCCTACCCAATTTCATATTCGAATTTCCTACTGAGATCTTGCAAAGAATTTTATTCTTCTCCATTATCTCCCGCTTAAAATACGATGAGGATTCTGTACGTGGGACCTCCAGAGCCCTGAACCTCCGACTTGTTTGCAGTAAGATTTGCCAACCCTTTCTGACAAAACAAGGAGGGATAGATTAACTGACATTGTATAGCGGGATTTGATGCATTGTTTCAAAGTGCACTCTTCGAGGCAAGGCTTCTGGATGACATACGGCCGTATGGCACTCCTCTTTCAAGGTCAGGCACTCTGGAGTACTGGCCTTCGACCCGCAAGCCAGCCGCTCAAAAACTATGGCATTCATACCTAGTGTATAGGGTGCTTAACGAAGTCGATCCCAACGTGAAGCGTTACGTTGAGGTTCGGGGCATAGCGAATGCGATTTGTTCTGAGACTGGAGGGGACCTTCTTCAGACAATCAAAGATCTCTGCTGGCTAGGTCTTGCGCATCAATTAGGAAACGCTTGGCCGCTTCCACACAGGCGAATTATACGAGGACAAGTTGCACTCACACCAGTACCCGCTCCGTCAAAGAACAATAGTCCTGATGTGAGCCTGCTTAGCGCGGCTGCATATCTTGGTTGTATATCTTTGACGAAACGCCTCCTCGAAAGTGGCAACGATCCAACAGAGCATGACATGCTCTTCCCGTGTCCCATGGAAGCGGCTGCTCTGGCGGGACAAGTTGCTACGCTGCAGCTTTGCCAAGCTAATGTTCCCTTGAGAGAAGACAAGCATCTTTTTTATCACCCGATGTTAGAGGAAGTCCCTCGCATCAAGGGCACATTTAACTTCGCAATTGCTGGCGCTGCCGCAAGAGGGGACATGGAAACTCTGGAGATAGCGCTGCGTCCAGCATTCCTCGATAGCACTACAGAGGACGTGCCAGCCCATAGAGGAGTTTCATTTGAGATTTTACGCTTCGCTAAAACATGGGAAGTTTTCTCAAGGCTTCTCTCTTTCTTACCTCCTGGTTTCCTAGAAGAAAGCAAATATGCCGAGCCCAACAGTAGTGAACTTCTACTGCATTTTGCTGATCTTGGCAATTTTGACATTGCCAAGGGCCTCCTTGATGCTGGCGCTCATACCCGGGGCCATGAGTGGCAATTGGGTATGCATCCGCTCTGGGCTGCTGCCAGGCAGGGATACGAGGACATAGTAGACCTCCTGCTGGAATACGGAGCGGATGTCAACCAGGCTACCGTCCTTTACTGCAGCACGGTGGGTGCTGCAGTACGTTCAGGCAATATAAGCCTTGTGAAGAAGCTGCTGAGCCAAGGAGGAGACTTCCGAGAAGAAGCACCCCGTGGTGCGCTGGTGGTGGAGAATGTCCCTATGTTAGAACTTCTTCTGGATCACTTGGATGCCCAGGGCCGTATTTCTCATCTTCTGGCCGAAGAACTTCTTGAATTGGCGTCAGAAAGGAACATGATTGACATGTGGATGTTCGTCGCTAAATATATAACTCTCCGTATGGATGTTAATTGGGGAAGTGATTCCGAAGTTGAAGATCTCTGAGTTGGATACATTTGGTCCTGGTCAGTGTCGGCTTCATAATCAGCATTGAATAACTCTTTTTATGACCATTGGGCCTCACAGAATCCATTGCTAATCACAACCCCTAGTAGATCTGAACAACAATATCTTCTCTTAAAACACACCGCGCCATTGATGCTTCATTGCAAATGCATCAGCTTGACCTGTGCTCCTCGCCTGTATCACATCATATTTCAATCTAAGCGGCAAGCAGATTTAGGAAAAGTCTTCTGATGAATTTTCTTCCTAGTAGAGATCCTTTTTATAGTTGGCGACTCATAAGTACGGCTGTAAGCTTTCCTCCAAGAGATCTTCGTATTGTTACTTTCAAAAGTGTCCCTGAGGGAATGCCCCTCCTATAAAACTTGTAACATCTTCCCAGAGCTGCTCGGGTAGTTCTAGAGCAGCGAAATGCCCGCCCTGCGAATGAGCTCTGTAAAACGTTAAATTCCCGAGATCTCTAGCCCAGCGTTCTGGCACACCGGTATTGTCATACGGGAATCTGCTATATCCCATCGGCTTGCTGATATATGGGGAAGGGGTGAAAATGGGTGTGATTGTGTTGGAGGTCTCGCGGTACGAATAGAAGCTTCGCGAGATGGTTTGCGTGAGGTGGTACATGGACACGAACTGTAGAATCTGGTCCAGGCCGAGAGGATGAGACGGGTCAGTCCATGCCATGAACTTCTCGCCGGTCCAGGCAAGGAGGCCGACTGGGTTATTCTCGAGGGCGAAACCCAGAGTGGATGGCTTGGTCCCTTGAAGAATGGCATATGCCTGCTGTGTTTCGAAAAATTCTTGGGATCGAGCGAGAACCTCGCGGTCTTGTGGGGTGATGGTGCTATCGTTGGTGACTGGAGGAGCAGAATCTGGCTTGATGCTTGGGATCATGTTCAAGTGAATCCCTACCGCTTGTCAGCAAGTTTCCAGGCGGTGGAATCTACGGAAAGCATCTCACCTTTGCAGCTCTCCGAGGTCATAGCCAATGTCCGGGCAACAAACGAGCCGATATCACCGCCCTGTGCGATATAGCCGCTTCTAAACCCAAGCCCCAAGAGCAGATCATCCATCAAAGCAGACGTATTTGCAGTTCCCCAGTTGCTCTCCGGGGATGGCGCTGAAGAAAACGTGAAGCCAGGTAGGGATGGCACAATAATATGATACGGACTAGACGAGGCGTTGAACTGTGCTTTAATCACATCGAGAAGGTCGATGAACTCGAGGAAAGCTCCAGGCCAGCCATGGAAAAATGCGACTGGGATCGCATCAGACTTCTGTGAAAAAAGCCCCATGAAATGAACTTCCATCAAATCACCGGCCGGAGTAGTCAAATTTGCCTTAAAGTTGGGGTGCATGTTCATCCGCTCTTGAAACTTTGGCCAGTCAAACGACTCTCGCCAATAGGCGGTGGAGTTTGCAGTCCAACTTGCAGTAACACCATATCGCAAGTCCGTTTGGGTATTTTCGTAAGTCACAGGGAAGTTTCTTACTCGTGAGAGGTCCTCCTGTAAAGATCGAAGGGAGCTGGGAGGGATTGTTACTTGGATTTCTTTGACAGGGATTGTAACGGACGAAGGGAGAATGGCCCAAGAGCCTGCTGAGGCGTCTACAGCTGACGCCAAGAATATAGTGTGCCAAATTGTAGAAACTCTCATCGTGGGCTTAGATTTATTTCATCAAGACATGAGTATTTCTTCAGTATCATCATCAGTGACTACCTACCGATGGTGATATATATCTAAAGGTTGATTGTCGCCGAAAAGTCGCCGTCACTTGCCACATCGTCCGGGGACAATTTTACCTGCTGATCCTTCCAAGATAAACGGACGAATTTATTGGCTAGGCTACGAGGATCAACTCCCCGGAAACTTAATCTTCACAATTTAATCTAAGCCTGAAGTATGATGTCACTAACTCACTGCCATTCACCAGGAAAAGCCAACCCGCGCCGTGACATTGAAATCTTCGTGCACGGTTTCCAACCCTCTCCACACCAAAGGATTCACTGGATTACCAAGCTACTTGGCAAGCCATCCTTAGCTACGACGCCTACTGAGATTGGCCTGTTTTACTATGGGGTCGTGACATTGAATAAGAGTAAGTTGACCTTGGCAACTTCGTTCGAGAGTGATAGTACTGTGAGGGACTTCGAGTATAAAGTAAAGAACAGCAATGGAAGAGGCCCGACCTGGTATCTTAGCATAATGACTAAAGAGTGAGAGTAACTTGCAGATTTGAGAACCTTTAGTCTTGAAAAGAGATACGTGGCTTTGAAAGCTTGCACTGGAACCGAAAAACCTCTTGAGAGTAACGAAACGAAAATTTTGAAAACGCTCCAACACAACGGCCAAAGTAAGCCCGGTAATAAAAACATCATTAAACTGTTTGACCTTTTACTATAGAGGGCCCAAATGGGTACCAAATTCTCATCACCGAAATGACCTCAACTTACAGACAAAAGCCCTTTGATTATGCTTTATCTTCTCCGTGACCTCCCGATATCCTCTATCCCTTTTCCCTCGTAAATTCTTTTAAGTGAAGGCAACTGCTAACTTTTGATCAGAACAATCCTTCGTCGATAAATCACTCTCAATTCTTGGGCCGCTTTATGTACCAGTTGCCCTTCGTAATCTATGCCCATCAATCTTAAAATGGCTGAATACCTCCCCTATTGAGGACCCTGCCTACGTCGGCGTCCCTATTGCCCTCAATAACAGTCACAAGAAGCTTCCCACCACTCGAAGGATGCCCAGCGCTGCTCCTGGCCTGTGCCGCTCTCTCTCCTCCAAGTCCCGTGGCGAGGAAACCTGGTTCGACACACCACACCTTGACCCCGTCCTCCTTCAGTATCCAGTGCCACGATAGCATCGCCATATTCAGCGCCGTCTTGCTGGACCGGTAGGAGCTTGGTAGGTACGCACCTTTCTTTGGCCAACCAGCCGGAATGGGCGGGGGTGCCGGATAATGCGCCTCGCTCATCCGCCCAAGACTGGCCAACCCGCTACTGACAAAGATCAACCGAGGGTCAAAGGATTTGAGCAGCAGAGGAGCAAATGTTTGGGTCAAGATATTTGGCCCAGACACATTAACGTCATACGACTTGTTCCAGGCCTCACGCATAGTAATGTCACCAAACACAAGTTCAGCATCCAATGCGATTCCTTGTCTACTTTTAGCAAACTTCCAGAGCCAGGATACGACATTCCGGGTGTTGAACTAACCTGCATTGTTCAGTAGCACATCGACACGTCCATGAGTAGCTTGAACCAAATCGAAACCCTTCGATATCGACTCATCACTCGAGACATCAATCTGGAGCAGCTCAGTAGTGCTCTTGGTGTTGAAAGCGACCTCCTTTAGTGATACCAGGGCCTCTTGTCCCTTCTGTAGATTTCGGGTCCCTATAAGAACATGGTAGGAGCGTTCTGACTGAAGGAGAGCCTTTACAGTCTCCCAGCCGATGCCGGCATTGGCCCCCGTGATAAGAACAATCGTCTGGTTATTTTCAGCCATTTTCTTTTTGGAGCGACGGTAGCAGTTTTGCTGAGATCAAGGTAACAAGGAGAGTATATTTAATTAAGATGTCAAGATGTTAGCTGGACTTTACGGCTGGGTGCAACACTTATAGGATGGCAAGCCGCGCGGTCATGACAGGAGTCAGGTGTGAAATCCCTCACACCAGCCACTGCGGCCTCGGTCATTCTTTACCCCTCTTCTTGATAAATTAAGCATGTCCAATTAAAACTGACCTTGCTGGAAAGAATAAAAATGCAAATCCGGGCGGCTATTCTATTTGGTTCTAGTAAGGGGGATTGATGACTATAATTTTGGTACTTTGGCTAAACAGGAAGTTGATGGAGGGACTAAGCGGACTATCTGACGTGTTCTATCTTTGCATCCCTGACATTGTGTCATGCGCTATGATAAGACCTATTGCAAATCCCGGATACGAATTGACACCCAATGAAGGAATCAGTGTCTGAAACACAAGCACGCAGTCGCTTGTAGAGTTGCGATACATGACAGGCTAAGGGATACCAATATTGGAAGATTGAACAACCAACGACAATAAACATGCTCTGAATTTCAGAACGGCGGGTACTCTGTGGGCTATTCTTCGTTTAGAAAGAAACTCACAGGTATAAGTGAGTACCTTCTGGGTTTCTTGACGTCCAATTGAGGGCGCGAGCTGGACTGACAGCCAGACAATGCAGGGGCTCCGGTGGCATTACTCGTAGCGTCCATAGAAGAGATATCCCCTACTAATATCGGCGGGAAATTCAAAGATAACGCTGTATCAGAAATGCTCGGATCACATGACACTGCTGTATATGGCTGGCCAGTCACGTTCGACAGGGTCTTCTCGTCAGCCTCTGGCGTGGCCAAGCCCATAGAATGGAAGGTTCTCTCATGAGTGTAAGGCTTCGTAGGCTCTGAACACTCACAACCTTGCGCGATACACCTTTGACACTTCCCAGGGGTGCGGTAAACAGGTTCACACTAGACGCCGAATGGTCAGTCAAGGGCACATTTTGGACATATCGTTGCAAAGATGGCTGACTTTTCTTTTGTTTTTGCTGAAAAATGAGCTTTTAAATGAATTCGTTTTCAATTTTTTGCTCCCGGACAAATCCACAACGATGCACTCTTGAATCTCGTTGCTAGAACTATCTCGGCTTCTTTTGCCCCTGCTCGGGTTGTTTCTGGACTGTTGAGTTCGTTAGCATTTTGAAAACCCGGGATCGGGGATGGGCATACCATGATTTGATTAGGAGGATATAGCAATCTGGGTAAAATTAATGGAACGTTTAGATCAATTTGTGTGGTCTCTACCAGTAGATTTATATCTTTTGCTTGCTTGTCTTGAACAATACCATTCATTCGCAGATGCGGACTAAATCTTTGTTAGTTGATCGCATAAGGGCTTAATATATGATCTCAAAGACCTTTTAGGCTAAACTTTAAACATAAAGTTAAATCCT